AATTTGTTCAACTTTTGAAGTGTTGGTTGTGCCGTGTGCAGTTGGTGTTGTGGTGGAGAAGAATTGGGCCCTTTCTGTTGACCAGTACCAGCTGCAGGCATTGCAGTTTTTGGTGTATCTCATCAGTTTGCTGAGCATACTTCTCAGATGTAATGGTTTCACTGGGATTCAGAAAGCTATAATGGAGCAGACCACAACCGACCACCAAAGAGTTGACTGTGACCTTCTTTTGGTACAAGTTTGGCTCTGGGAAATGGTTTGGAGCTGCTTCTCCATCCAACCACTGGGCTGGTTATCACCAGTTGTCATATAAAATCCACACTTTGTCTCACATCACAATCCAGTCAAGAAATGGTTCATTGTTACTGCATAAAGTAAGAGAAGATGGCATTTCAAAATGATGGGTTTTTAAAAAATTTTTGCTCAGCTCATGAGGGACCCACTGATCGAGATTTTTCACCTTTCCAATTTGCTTCAAATGCTGAACACCATAGAATGGTCGACGTATTCTTTGGCAACTTCTTGTGTAATTGTAAGCGGATCAGCTTCGATGACTGCTCTCAGTTGGTTGGTGTCAACTTCCAATGGCCAGCCACTATGCTCCTCATCTTCAAGTTCTTGTCTCCTTTGCAAAACTTCTTGAACCACCACTTCACTGTATGTTAGTTTAGTTCCTGGGCCAAATGCATCATTGATGTTGCGTGTTGTTTCCACTGCTTTATGAACCATTTTTGAACTCGAATCAAGGAAATCACTCAAATTTGCTTTTTGTCTAACATCATTTCCATAGTCTAAAATAAATATAAAATAAACAGCAAGTAGTAAGTCATTACCAAATATACATAAAATGAGAAACATGCATTAAAATGGTGTGTAACATGACCACATTTAAGAATGTATTCCAATATCAAGCAGAAAATTCCAACAATGCAAAAACTGCAATTACAGTTGCACCAAGCTAATAATTTGTTTAATTAGCCTAGAGTTGATGGATTTTTAGGTAGCTGCCAGTTCTTTTTGCAACTGTAACAAACAATGAAGCTTGAACATCACTGTATTTGCATGTATGCTTACTTTGAAAAGGATAGGGTAATTTTCCTCTAAAAGCAAAAAGATAGGGTAATTTTCCTCCAAAAATAAAAGGTTAGGGTAATTTTCCTCCAAAAACCTACTACTTTCTATTCTCATCAATGTTTTAACCCACAACTTTGTTAATCTTGACTAATTAATTTTTAAATTATGAATATGCCTTTGTCAAAGAACAAAGTTAATCTACACCAAAATTTGACAAGTAGTTGTTTCTTAAAGGTCAATTACAATGTAGAGTATAGAAATCATATCAAAAACCATTTTCTACTCTCATACATTAAAATCCATTGTACTTTGAACCATTTACCCATGTGTGATTTTGTAACTACATGCATTGTCCTTGGGAGAACACTGGTTCATTGAGTTACGCATGCATTTCAAGTACTGACACATTTCACTACCCCAGATTAAATCATAATAGCTAATATCACCACAATTTCATCAGAACAAGTTTTTAAGTATTGGAAAACTGTCAAGGTCATCATAGTATATAAAAATTCTAGTTGCTTGAAACCTTTATTATTGATGTCAGTTTTTCTTGAAGTAGTAGAGTCCATTCATTCATTATTGAAAATGCTTTTTATTTATTTATTTTGCTTCATTGCAGTCTTGAATAGAAAAGTTAAAATTGGATTTTCTTGTCTTGCTCTCAGTAGTTAATGGAAAGCATTCAATCTTTCACCATTAAATGTGATGTTAGCTGGTAGTTTTTCCTAGATTCCTTTTATCAGATTTAGGAACCCTCTATTCCACATTTTTGAGTGCTATATCAAATGCTTTCTTAGCATCCATTAAGGTGATCTTATGGTTTTTGCCATTTATTCTATTATTATGGTGAATTGCATAGGTGGATTTTTGAATATTAACCCAACCTTGTATTCCTGGATTAAAGCATCCCTAGCATAGTGTCTCGTTCACTTTTGTATTCATAATGCCTAACCCAGTCCCATAAAGATATAGTATATGTTCAGTAAGTATTTGTTCAATTAAGTAAGACAGTGAAATTCCTTAAATGGTTTTCCTGTTTTGGAAACTGTTAAAAACATTTGGAAAAAACTAGTCATTTTATTATCTAAAACATACTGCTATCTGTCTTATTCAGAAGTCATATCTCAACAGCATTAACTATCGGGAATATAGAAGGTGTTTCAGAAGGAAGTAGAGAAGCCTTTTGATGGTTCTTTCATTGAAGAAGTTCAAAACCTTTTTATTTTTACATTTTGTATATAGTTCTAACAAGATTTGATCTAACTTCCATGCACCCTACATATCAGAAGTAACAAACTGGGGTAGAATAAGTTATTAGAGATTGTTAAATTGAGAGGATGTAAATTAACTTTCAGTGGCATAGAGGGGGTAAAAACATTATGGAAAGAATTGTAAAAGCTTAGTAGCTGAGAGCTGTTAATGTTGTGGTAGCTGAGGGCTGTTTGTAAATCTTAATTGCATCTCCAGCTTCTTAATGTATATAGAATTGCAAAAGTAGGATTTTAGAATTGGAATAAACTTAACAAGCCTCTCATTCCCTGTTTCTAAACCTTTTTTCCACTTTACACATGTGAGGGGTAGATATGACAGATACCTATAAGAGCAGCTTGGTAGGTGTGGTTTTGATTCCCAGTAGCAAGAAGAGATGAGACAAGTGTGTGTGATGTGTGTTTGCAGGGGGTGCTGACATATACGCATTGGAGTGTATCAGAATCTCCGTTTCTGGGGAGGGCATCATGTATGTAGTTTCAGTTTTTACCCATTCCTGCTTTGATTACACTGTTTTTTTTTTTTTGACAGAGTCTTGATCTGTCACCCAGGCTAGAGTGCAGTGGTTCCATCTCTGTTCACTGTAACCTCTGCTTCCTGGGTTCAAGCAATTCTCCTGCCTCAGCCTCCCAAGTAGCTGGGACTACAGTGATTACACTATCTTCCGTTCCCACCTGCAGATGTTTTGCTGCCTCATTCATATTCATATCTGAGAAATACTTGTCTTATCCAAATCACTAATATTGTTATAGATAAGTAAACTGAGGCCGACTTGAGAGGTTGAATGACAAGCTAGCCATACAGCTGATGAATATTAGGTTAGACTAAGAATATAGTTGTCTTGGTTTTTAGTTCAGTGTTTTCTGTCCTATAATAATTTATATTCAAACTAATAGGGTAAATAATTATTATTTTTAAATATTATATTTAAAAAACTTTATTAAAAAGAATTTATATATTTTTAAAATATTATATTTAAAAAACTTTTTATTAAAAAGAATGAAAAGTTTTTATTAGAATTGTTTTCCCTCTCAACATACTGAAAAAAAATCACTTGGAAGTAAAACTGAGACATTTGTGGTGGAAGAAGTTCATTTTTTCATGCTAATAGGTAACATAAATGCAGTGTTAAGTGTCAAACTAAATAATAGGGAAACTCTAAAAATGATATTTAGGAGTGGGCATCGCAATAGGAATATATGTGAGTATATTCAGGGAGGTAAAGGAAGACAAGAGTTTTTAAAGGAAAAATGGGGAGGGTCACTTAAGTTGTTCTGAGACAATTCTCCTTGGCTACAAGGATCATTAACAAGAATGGCATCAGTCCAAGGTTGGACAGGCAGTTGCTGGACAGATATCCTCACAGAGTAATTTTTTGTAAGGTTGCAATGGCTTTTGTTCTAGGTTGTGGTTTTTTCACTTTTGTGATAATTCTTGTTATCAGGCATATATATGTGTGAGAACCCTCCTTTCAGTTCCCTCCCTAGATCTGTTTGTCAGGGCTTTAGCACAAGTGACTCCATTTTGATTTTGAGAACTTCCACATAAAAGAAATTGATCCCTTATATTTTAGTTTATTGGGAATCTGTTAGCTCTGAAAATAAAATACAGATGACTTCTAGGCATTCAGATTTCATATTTGGAGTCTGTATTATTTTGTATGACTGTGTAATTAATTATTACTAGATCTTACTGGCTTAAAATGAAAGACTATTATTTCACAATTTCTGTGGGTCAGCAATACAGGCATGGCTTAGCTGGGTCTTCTGTTTAGAGTCTTACCATGTGGAAATTAAGGTGTAAGCCTAGACTACAATCTACATGAGCCTCAGTGCTCTCTTCCAAATTTATTGATTCTTGCCAGAATTCAATTCCTCATGGCAATAGAACTGAAGCCCTTACTTCCTGGAGGATTCCTATTGGCATGTGTCTCCTTCCATGGCATGGTGGTTTGCTTCTTTAAGGCCAACAGGAGAGTTCTCTGCTGCTACCAATATCTCTGACTTCTAGACCTTCTTTTTAAAGGCTCACCTGAATAGATCAGGCCACCCAGGATACTCTCTCTTCCTATAAGGTGACTTTTGATCAACTTAAAGTCACCCAATAGGAGGCTTAATTACATCTGCAGTGTAAGTTAGCCTAGTCACAATAGTGAGATCCCAGGAATCCTGCCCACATTCAAGTGGAGGGGTTTATGTAAGGTTTATCCACCAGAGGATGAGAATCTTGGGGGTGAAGGGTGATCTTAGCAGTATGCCTACCACAAGATTATTAAAGCCAGTAGTGTCTCTTGTTCAATAGAACTGGAATCTTTCGTATGTGCTAAGTCTTTCTCCAGGCCATGGAAATATAAAGTGAAAAAGCCTAGCTTTTTTTCAATAGTAAGGTGGTAGAGAGAAACAGTGAAGTACTTTTTATAATGTAATTCAGTTTATGTAGCTGCAATAGAGGTATATCTAGGGTATAATGTGAACATCAGAGAGAACGTGTATTAGGAGGTGGGGAGATTTGGCCAAGAAAAGTATGTACCTGGGAAAAGTAATAGTACTGCATTAGTTCTTGAAAATATAAAATTTTAAATATCAATTTTTAGGAGGAAAACCTTAGTATTTAGGATGATGAAATTATTTAATGACTATTTCTTTTTCCCCCAGATGGTATACCTCAAGTTTACTATTTTGGCCCTTGTGGTAAATACAATGCTATGGTGCTGGAACTGCTGGGACCTAGTTTGGAAGACTTGTTTGACTTGTGTGACAGAACATTTTCTCTTAAAACAGTTCTCATGATAGCTATACAACTGGTAAGTAAAATAGGGTATTTGATGTTGTTTGAACAAGTGCATGGTTGTTGGTCACAATTTCATCTTAAAAGTTTAAAGTTCTGTGATACTGTCTTACAGAGCATTTGACCTAATACAGATGTTTCTACTTTTCATATTGTCTTTCTTTCTGGGATCCATGTAACTTAAAATAACTGAGTCAAGTGTATTTTATTTGTATAAAAACTGATATGTTAACTGCATTAAGATCAGAATGCTCAGTTTGAGAATTAAGTTGTTGTCGCTAGCAGTTTTTTTATATAAAAGATGAATACTTCAAAAGAGAATCCTCAGAAACATGGATTCTTTATGTATTTCTTTTTTTTTTTTTTTTTTTGAGACAGAGTCTCTCTCTGTCACCCAGGTTGGAGTGCAGTGGCATGATCTCGGCTCACTGCAGCCTCTGCCTCCTGGGTTCAAGTGATTCTCCTGCCTCAGCCTCCTGAGTAGCTGGGACCACAGGTGCGTGCCACTGTGCTTGGCTAATTTTTTGTATTTTTAGTAGAGTCAGGGTTTCACTGTGTCAGCCAGGATGATCTCGATCTCCTGACCTCGTGATCCACTTGCCTCAGCCTCTCAAAGTACTGGGATTACAGACAAGCGGGTGCCACTGCACCCAGACAGAAAAACATGAAATCTTAATTTTGGTAATAAACTTTATGACCTTGAAAAACAAGAAGCAAACTAATGAGAGCATCTTGATAAATTACTTAGACTTCAGGGAATCTATGGGATAATAATTCAAGAGTGATTTAAAGTTTTGAGATAAATGCCAATAGAAGGGTGCTGCAACAGTCTTAAAATTGTTTTTATTCTTGACTGATTAATTCTACTTCTACAGATTTATCCTGTGGATGTATTCATAGGTACTTAAAGGTTTATATGAAAGGATGTTTATAATTAAAAAATGGGAAGCAACCCAAATTTGCAGAAATAACAGGGTTAGTTGAATATTCTGTTTTGTTTGTCTCCAAACAAAACAGAATAAGTTAACAGCCAGAGGAAAATATGCAGCTATTAAAAAGTGCATATTAAAGGATGTTTCATAGGCTAGGTGTGGTGGCTTGTGCCTGTTGTCCCAGCACTTTGGGAGGCTGAAGTGAGAGGATCACTTGAGCCCAGGAATTGAAGATTAACCTGGGCAACATAGTGTGATTCTGTCTCTATAAAACATAAAAAATAAGCCATGTGTGGTGGTGTGCTTGTGTAGTCCCAGCTGCTGAGGAAGTTGAGGCAAGAGGAGTGCTTGAGCCTGGAGGTTGAAAATGGAAGCTGCAGTGAGCTATGTGGTCCAGCCTGTGTGGCAGAATGGGACCTTGTCTTAAAAAAACAAGAAAGCTACCAAAAACCAAACAACAGTTATCTCCAAACAAAACAGAATATTTTATGATCTTAACTGCTTACATCATTAAGAATATATATACATAGAATATTGTATATTATGTGATGCAAGGTTTGTTAAACAAACTAGAATGACCTGTGTAACCATATGTTTATATTGCATTGTTAACCATGATTATCACTAATGGAGCAATTTTATGTTCTTATTTGTAATATTCTATTTTATGATAGTTTGTACAATGAACATTGAAAATCTGTGAAATAATTGATAAAAATGAACTATGTTATTAATATTAGAGTTGGGTTCCAGACTTTCCTAGCTTTAAGATTAATCATTTTTAAATGTTTAATACCTAGGAGAAAGTAAAGGAAATGTGTTATGAAAAGAAAAAGATACTGATAGTGTTGTTGTTTTTATTTAATAGTTTAGACTCTTAAATTTCTTTAATATAATTATAAAAGTTGCTTGATTATTGAACTAATAAGGAAGACTATATTGCAACATTTTGCATATATCTGCTTATACTTTTGAGTTCAAGGTCTTGTATCAATATGGCTTTTTGATTTTATGAAGTAGCATCCTCTGAAAGTGTTGATTGAATCAGGTTTACTGATATGAAAGGAATTCATAAAATTCAAATACTCTTGTTTCTCAGTGACCATAATAGTAAAAACAAAGATTTTAAATTGTAATTTGATAGTGTATTTGAAGAACGACACGGTGACACATTATGTTACTTTTAAAGGGTTGAAACAATTTCTGATTTATGTCTTTTGTATGTTTTTATTGTGAAAGTTCTGTCTTGCTTTTATCATTCTTGTTTAGGATAGTCTAAGCCCAAAATAAAACTTCTCTCTTTTTTTTAAACCAAGATTTCTCGCATGGAATATGTCCATTCAAAGAACTTGATATACAGAGATGTAAAACCTGAGAACTTCTTAATAGGACGACCAGGAAACAAAACCCAGCAAGTTATTCATATTATAGATTTTGGTTTGGCAAAGGAATATATTGATCCAGAGACAAAGAAACACATACCTTACAGAGAACACAAGAGCCTTACAGGAACAGCTAGATATATGAGCATAAACACACATTTAGGAAAAGGTATGTGTACCTTTTGTAAGTATGGAAGCTTGAATTCAGCAGTTATGCTAACACTGTGTGTTTTTATTTGTTATGGTTCAGTTTTTGCAGATTGCAATAGCTTTTATTATAATTTTCATTTATCACATCTACCTAGAGTTTACTTTCATTTATTTTTTAATAAAACTCTTTGAAAATAAGTTATTATGGAGTAAATGAATAACAGCTATCCTTCCGTTTTCTGTTTTTTTTTTTTTTTTTGTATTTATGTAACTTGAAATGTCCAACTTTGGTACAGTTTTGAAGATGCATTTAATTATTTCTTTTACAAAATATAAGAGAATACCAAATTTTAACTGAATTTAGTGCATGTGGAAATTTTGGATTGAGACTGTAGCTCTCCAATATGGCTAGCCACAGAAATATCAATTAGCCTAATAAATATAATGCTAAGAGCATATACCTTAGAAGTGAGTAGAACTGGCTTACCTGTATGCTAACTGTGACTCTGGACAAGTTTAACCTTTTTAGGGGGTTTCTTATTGGTAAAAAGAATAAAACAGTATCAACTTCACAGAATTTTTTTTACAGCTTTTTTCCTCCACCCAGGTCCATTTATTTATCATATCCCTTCAATCATTTTCATCTGGAACAGTTCCTCAGTCATTCTTTATGGCTCATAACCTTAATATTTTTTAGGAGCACTGGCTATTTTATAGGATATCTCCAATTTGGGTTTGTCATTTCTCTTTGACTAGATTTGGGTAGGCATTTTGAGTCCAAATATAATAGAAATGAGACGTTGTTTGTGCATCATGTTGGGGTCACTTGCTTGGGTGATTATCTGCCACATTTCTCTACTGAAAAGTTTCTTATTTTCCCTTTGTAATGAAAAAGAATTTTGAAGTTAGATTTTGGGATTATGTAAATATGTTGTTCCTCATCAGATTTCTACCCTCTAGATTTAGCATCCATTGATGATTTTCTAACTCCATTATTTCTTATATTTACATTTCCTTGTCAGTTGATATTCTAATATAAGCAGAAGCTTTCCTTTTACCTCAGTTATTGACTTATGTCTACATAAACTTAATTCTTATTTAATGTAATGTATTGAATGCATTATCATTAGTTATTTGATATCCAGAGGGTTCCAGATTTGGCCACTGATTGCACCTTCAAGCTGACTTCTCTGTCCTTTTGACACGTTCTCATGATTCTTTGAATACTTTATTACTTTCTGGTGCAGCAAGTTCTTATAAACACACTCATCTTGCAGATTCTCTTCTGAAGCCCCATAATCAATCCTTTTCTCCAAGAAGTTCTGAATCCTTTTATCGGTTAATGATATTTAGAAACCAAGATTTGGCCACTGAACATGCTCATTACTGTGGTGTGTTGTTACTGCTAGGCCCTTTCTGCAGCAGAACTAGGAAATGTTTGTGCATATATGTATATACACACACACATAGAAATATACCTACATATGTATATAATATATACACACACATTAATATCTATTAAAAACTTTGAGTTTATACTGATATACTTCTAATTTCAGTCTGTCAGTACAAAATAGTATTTCCCTTTTCTATATTTGTAATTCCCATCCCTTTTCCATATTTGTATCTTTTTTTTTAACCAACAGTGAGAAATCTGGCTATCACTACTCATATTTACTTGTTTTCAAAAGCTGAGGATTCTCAGAAAGTAGTTTCAGATTGCCAAGTGATACCACTTTATAAAGCAAGTCCACTAGAATTATAACATTTGTAATTCTTATTTTATTGAAGAGTTCTTTGTTTATTTGAAATTTTTATTTAAAATTTTCATTGGGTAAAGTATATAACATTTGATTATATAATTTGTATTGATGAATATGGACACTATGTAACCCATAGCACTATCAAGATTTAGAACACTATCATCCTATAGACTTCCATTTTACCCATCTTAGTCATTCTCCTTCTTTTCTAGAAGCAACCACTGATCTGATTTCTATCACAACCAGATGAGTTTTGCTAATTCTATTACTTCAAATACATGGAACCATCCAACTTCTTTTGGTTGGTATAATGTCTGTAAGATTCATCTCTGGTGTTGCCAGTATCAGCAGTTTATTCTTTCTTAATGCTAGGTAAAATTCCATTGCACAAACTGCTTACCCATTCAAATGTTGATGGACATTTGATTGAGTTTTTGACTTATGAATAAAACTTGTATAATATTCTCACAAATCTTTTTGTGGGCATATTTTTCAGTTTGGCCCTATAGTAGGTGTTATTTAACTTTATAAGAAACTGCCTGTCCTCGGGAGTGTTTGTACCTTTTCTTTTTTTATTTTCACCAGCAATGAATGAGAATTTTGTTTTATATTCTTGACACATTTAGTGTTGTCAGTCTTTTTCATTGTAGCCATTCTAGTGGCTATGGGGTGGTCTTTTAATTCCTTGTGATTATTGTTTCTGAGATCTGTTTCATGTATGTATTGGCTATTTGTATATCTTCTTTTGAGAATTGTGTGTTATTTTATTGTTAATGTTAATTTTATTAATTAGTTTTTTATAAACAATTATTTTTGGGTATAATTATTTTGTCATATATATGCATTGTGAATAATTTTTTCCATCTTTGCTTGCCTATTCATCTTAATGGTATCTTTTGATGAGCAGAACTATTAAATATTTATGAAGTCTAGTTTGTCAGTTTTTTTTTTATAGTTATTGTCTTTTGAATTCTAACAAGTCTTTACCTTTATGTGATAAGGTAAACAAATCTATACCTTTGTTACATTTTATGCTTTCTTCTAAAAGCTATATGGTTTTAGCATTTACTTTTAGGTCTGTGGTCCATCAGAATTGGTTTTTTTATATGGTGTGAGATAGAGGTTGAGGTTCTTTCCATGATATCATATTCTTTCCTATTGAATTACTTTTGTGTGTTTCTTAAAAAGTCAATTCTAGATTATATTTACCACAGTCAGTGTTCATCACAGAGGAGGTACAAACTTAATTATCTGCTTTTAGATATTCTGCTTTTAGCTACTATTAGACATCTCACAACAGATAGAAATGTGAACCAATCAGTACATAGCCATCACTGCTGCTCAAAAATACCTTCCAATATACAGTCACATATTTGGACTGAATCTTGGAAGTTATCTAATTCAACTTTCATCTCCTGATCTTACCCTATTCTTAGCTTTTTCTCTAACCATTCTCTTCAGCTTTAGCTACTGCATAGAGCATGTCCCTATATAGTAGGGACTGCCTCTCAATCATAACCAAATAGGATGTGGCATCTTTCCTGACAGCCCATCTGACTGTAAGCTTATGGCATTTTTTTTTTCAGACATCTGAAATGCCTGAAAAATGTCAATTTTCTGTTTTTTTTTTTAAAGTATCAAATATTTAAAATTATAAAATGCAAGGTTTATTCAGATAATATTTCCAGGTGGTAGCTTTCAATAACTGACTTTCTGAATAGATTTAAAAATATGATTGGCTAGCTATAAAACTCTTAGGATTGTGACTTCTGTTAAAACTAGGCACACTTGTATTTATTTACATGTGCAGTATCTGTGAGAAATTTTCATTTTATGGGAGTTGTTAACAGACTATTTTATAACTAACAAAGATTCATCACCATTTTATTGTGAGACATGAAGTCACAGCTTCCTTAGGGCCTAAAGTTCTTTATCTGAACAATGGTAAATGTAACAGCATTCTATTTGTAGAAATGGTGAAGTGAGTGTGTTATGTTTGTCATTGTTAGGAAAAGTCCTCAGTACCTGGGAAATGAAATTTAACTATTGTGAAAATCTCTCTTTACTCCTCTTTCAGGAATAAAACAAAAATTTATTTCTTTGGCAAGTATAGCAAACAGCAAATGTTTAATGTTTACTTTTCCCCGTTTATAAACACCCTGATTCTCAGTTTTCAGATAAAACTGAGGAGTAGATGGGTAATATTAACAGATAAAAAATTTTGTTCCCAAGATTACATGAATTCCTACTTAAAAAACTAAGAGTAAGCTAAGATAATATCAGTTTGGATGCTAAGGAATTAAAGCTTTAATTCTGTAAGTTGGGATGCCTTTGGACATGGAAGACATAGTGGTTTTTTAAGTTTATAGTACTTGGTCTTATGAGGAGTCAGGAAGAGATAAAGAAGGAAAAGGACTAGAAAAAACCTGACCTTTTAATGTGATTTTAATTTGTGCATATATTTTTTCTGCACTCCCTGCTTTGCCTGGATCTTGGTGATTACTTTTTTTTTTTTTTTTTTTGAGACAGTCTCACTCTGTCGCCAGGCGCCAGGCTGGAGTGCAGTGGCGCAATCTTGGCTCACTGCAATCTCCGCCTCCTGGGTTCAAGCAATTCTCCTGCCTCAGCCTCCCGAGTAGCTGGGACTACAGGCGTGTGCCACCATGCCCAGCTAATTTTTGTATTTTTTTTTTTTTTTTTTTAGTAGAGACGGGGTTTCACCATGTTGGTCAGGATGGTTTCGATCTCTTGACCTCATAATCCACCCGCTTCGGCCTCCCAAAGTGCTGGGATTACAGGCGTGAGCCACCGCGCCCAGCCGGTGATTACTTTTAAAGCCTTATTCATTTGTTCATCTTTCCATCCATTCCATTCATTCTTAGGCACTCAAGGACTTCTTGCTCACATGAATTTTTCAAAATAGAATATTTGGTCAAAGAAACATTGTATGTGTAAGTATTTTTCCTTTTTGGAGACTGATACTTATAAAGAAAAAAGATGTTCCTAATACAATAATATGGAAGAGTAGTGTAAAATCACATAATAGAAATTAGCATTTTATTCTTGTAGTATCTATTGATTTAACTAGGTCATTTATGTTCAGAAGGCATTTATACCTTTCTTGTATCTGCTTAAGTCTCTGTCCAAGATGCAGTCTTGATAAAGCTTTGTGTTACAGATGTGGATTTCCATAGTATCCTTGCATGAAAACTTTCTTTAGTGTTGTCATATTGTTATTTTTGTACCAGATCTGACC